TTCCGGTAGTTTGTAAAATGCAATCTGCAAAAGCAACAGAAACAGCGATATTAGGCTAATGACAGCAATAATCAACAAACTTTGATAATAAGAGATAAAAAAGAAAAGGCATCTATCTGTTATAAATGAAAATAAAGCAACAAAAAATTTGCAAATATTTTTGACGACATCATTATTCTATTTTTATTGGTTTGTTAATTCAAAGAAAAACAGTAGTAAATTTTCTGAATAACCATTAAAGAGATAAAGGTAATCGTTGAAAACAGAGAGGAAAAGTGGAGAAAATAAAAAAGAGATTCATTTATGCTTCTTCCTATTCCTTGTCCTTTCCCCTTTTTTTCTCCAAGTGTGCTTTAAACGTTCATTTAATGTGGAATCAACAAATTTTCAAAATATTTAAATCCGTTTTTCTTTTTGCCTTCATTAGAAGACAATAATAGGTAAATTAGCAATTATTTGCGAAGTTCCTGTAGAAACAAAAATAAAGCAGATTAATAGAATGAAGAAAAGAGGGAAAAAAACTGAAAAAAAAAAGTGGAAAATATTTTTTACATATTTCTCTCAGAGCTTTTTGTTAATTTTGCTACACTGTTACAAATTAATTTTAGCCTTTTTTCACTTGTCATTTTTTGATTTTTTTTTTTCACCTATATCCTTCTCTCCCTCCATAACCGACTGAGAAGAATCAACAAGTGTTCATTCATTTTCTCCTTCCCTCCACTCAAATGCTTTGTTGCTTGATGAAAAAATCTTCTCGACTATTTGTCCACTATATATCTAAACCAATTTTTGTCCGGAAAAGCTAAGATTTTTAAGGTAATTTCTATATTGTTTAGTGCTAAAATACACTGAAGCCCAGCACACAGACAAATTACTCAGATCAGAATTATCTATCAATTAATAGAAAATAAAGTAGAGGAAAAAAGCAAAATTTTTACTTTTATTAATGAAATAAAAAAATTTAAAAAAAAAAAGAAAAAAAGAAAATGAAAGTAAGTAAAAAATTATAAATTTTACTACTTCTTCTTCCATTTTTTTCCATTTTTTTTTTTTTTTTTTTTTTTTTTTTTT